TCTCTCTCTCTCTCTCTCTCTCTCTCTCTCTCTCTCTCTCTCTCTCTCTCTCTCTCTCTCTCTCTCTCTCTCTCTTTTTGTCGGAGTCTTACTACTGACGCCCAAGTTTGTTTTACATGAAGTGAGAAGAACGGCATAGGTTGTCTTTTCCACATTTGGTGAGTTGTGCGGCAAGGCCCCCCGTATTCGATGGATTGCATCAGGATTTGAGCTCAGGACTGCTTATCAACAGTTACATGGGTGAAGCGTTCAGCACACAAGCTGGGTCTGGTGTTTTCTTGGCCTGCTCCTGCTCACAGCGGACCAGGGCAGCGGCATCAGAGCTGGAATATATTGTTTTAAAATTTAAATTCTATGAATTTCTTACGGCTGTGAAATTTCAAACTACGCAACCTGGACACTCATTTTTTCAGGCCAGGGTAGGTCCGCAGCTGGGGTCACAAGGGCTTCGATGGAGTGCCATTGTAGTTTGGAATCACCATAGATTCCCCCTGGCCACTTGTAGGGCAGGTTTCGCTGAGTTGCTACGTTTTTTAGGGCTTCCAGGGCCCATAAACCTAAGCTCGGTAGTGGTCCCGGTAGCCGGGTGTTTTGTGAGGCTCTTGGCCTCGTCCTTTTGGCTCCTTGACCCAATCAAGTCAATGTGAGAACGAAACAAAAGAAATGCTGACAACCATTGAATCCGGGGCAGACTCTCCGATACCGAGAATCGAAACAGGCTGCAAATACCGAAATCACCCCAACAAAACAAAAAAGAAAAACAGAATGGTTATACCATCCCCCCCGTTCCGATGTCAACATCCACTGAACCGACTGCCCTAGCAAGGTCTAAACATCACGCAAACAGAAGGGTGTGAAGCAAATGTATCCAACGGAACAACCAAAGGACAACAAAAACAAAACATAAGGCATACAGTAGCGTGACCCAAATGCATCATATGGATCACCTGCAATCGAAGGAAAAGCAACCTTTTCGTAAGCCAGACTGCCCAGATGAAGATCACAGGGCCCAATAAATGGCCGAGTGCAAAAACTCGGTGCATAGCGAGGTGCCTGCAACCACGGAACTTTGGTTGTTTGTTAGATCTGGCAGGCATGGGCTCACTGATGTACCATCACTTGCTGGTGAAAAGCAACCAGGATGATGCCCCTTCAAATAGAAGGGATCTGCAATACACATGAGATTAGCCATATAAAAGGTAATAACCAATCTTACATAGACCCGGTTATGCAAAGGAGACAGCAATCACTGGTAAACCATGTTCGCAATTTGACACAGAAAAATCGTGCGCGCCTGTATTTTCACCATCTGTACCAAGTCGTACTAACACCAGGTGATCCCTACATGCCATAGTTGACCACATCTCCTCTGTATCACCCACTGCCATTTGAGGAAATAACACAGATAGAAGAGAAGAATGCTTCTGAGCTTTCACCTGTACTGTGCTGCGCGGGCAAGTAATGTCGCAACCTCACTCCAGCTTGTCACTTCAACTAACGTGAGATCCGTCACTGTCGTGTTCCCATTTGCATCATGTTTCACTATATGCTGCTTGCTGCCACCACTTGCAGGGTCGATTTGTCCAACATTTGACAACCTAACTGAAGCTGAGAGAAGATCCCGAATAGTCTCATTGTATATCTCCAGCATGGATGCCTGTCAGTATGACCAGCATGAGAAAAGAATCACGCGCACGCGATTGATAAGTCCAACAGCTAATACTTTCAACTTTCAAGCCACTAAAGACCACAGGAAATGCAACATCAGATCTTGCGTTGCCAACAAACTCATGCCTCATGTGCCTCCCGGAAATGAACCAGACAAGCAAAGGAAAAAGACCTATTAACGCTCTTGGGCATCCTGATAATGAAACGTACAAGTGAAGAGAAACGACCCACCTGATATTAATTGATCCCCTGCACATGCAATCAGACTTGTCTTCACTCGCTCAGCATGCATGCAAACAGATGACGTTCAAATTTGGCGTGTTGTGCCCACACAAAGCTCAGAGATAAATCGTGGCGAGGAACACAGCTCAGATTCAAACTTGTCTCGATGGCTATGGCGCAGAGCGCCAGACGAAGATTCCCACCCGATCAACTGTATCTACCAACAACTTATTTGCAAACACACTCACACTCTCGGATCACCCTGGATGTCCCGCACGCACACCCACACACACAAACATACACACTCGCTATCCTATCCTATGTTGCGGCTATGGTCACCGTCTCCCTCCTATACTACCTCGCTGCTATGGCCGCGTCTTCCTCCTCTTAGCCCTCTTCTGCTTTGGGCACCTGCAGATGTCCGTAGCACAAGATGCTCCGACAGCGCTTCTGCACGGCTCACAGGCAGAATGAATGAGTGACTTGACGCTGCCTCTTTATTTATACTTCGGACCGTCGTAGGTCTGCCCTTGGACTCTGGGCCCGGGGTGTGCACAGTCCCACATGGTACTTGCTGACTAGACAAGGTGCACAGTCCCACATGTCGCAAGCGAAATGCGCACCACGGTCGAAGGCACAGAGGAGTTCTGCACGGGTGTCATAGAAGGCGCCAAGATAGCGACCCCCAAGGAGGAGGCACGGCCGCACCGTGAGCGCGTTAAGGTCAGATTCCCTGAACCCTATGGTGGGAAGAAGGGAGAGGACTTTGATAATTGGGAAGCCAATATCAAGTCCTATTTGCACTTGCAGGATATCGCGCCAGAGAATCATGTTCTCGTAGCCTTTCAGGTACTGAAGGAAGAAGCGGCCAGTTTTGCTAGATCACTTGAACGCGCTGCTAAGTGTGAGAATGATATGGTTACTTACTCCTCAATCACTAATCTGAGTGAGTTTCTGTCTGCCCTCCGCAAACGCTTTGCAGACGTCACAAGAGGCATTAGGGCGTCTGACAAATTGCAAACGATCGACACGCGACAGTGGAGGAGTGCATGAGGACTGAAAGCTGTCATGGATGAGCTTGTCGCTATCGCAGGACATGGGGTCACTGAGACCCAACTTGTCCAGTTGTTCTACCGTGTCATGTCTGAGAACTTGCACAGGCACTTCTTCACCAGAAAACAACAACCTGACATGACCTATGACATGTTAAGTCGTGAGGTTGTTGCTTTTGAGGGCCAGTCTGCGCCAGTCACCACTTTCTTGCACAACGACCTTGCTAAGGGCAAAACGAGGAAAGGTCAGCCCATCACGAGCCAAGTCAAGGCCAAGGATGGTCTTATCCTTACATTTGCAATAAATCGCAGTTTCCCAATGGGGCTGTACACCAAGCGTTTGGCTTTGTAGTTTGTTTTCTTGTTTTGAGCCCTGCAGGACTTGATCCTGTGACCTGTACTTTGTATATGTTTTGTTTGTGAGTGTTGAGCCCTATGGGATTGATCCCTGAGTCTATCACTAGTAGTCTCTATTTGGTAGCCTTATGCAATGACTTGCTGGCTCCAGGGTGCCTGTAGCCTCACTCTGACGAGGTTGTACCATAGTTAGGGACAGATTCGTAATTTTGTTTGGTTGAGGACTAACCAAGAGACCTGCCTCTATGGAAAATTCGTGAGGGACATATCTGTAAATATAGAAATATGGGCCAGTACTAACTCGATTTCCTACAGCTACCCTAACTGCGAATAGCAGACCCGGGCTACCCCTAGGACAGACAGGCCCTATGGGCCTATGCTAATAGAGGGTCCTATAGCCTATAGCCAGGTAGGGAGAGGCCCTAGAGGCCGAAACAGAAACGGTATCGGTCGGTCAGTCAGTCCGGTCTAGGTCAGTCTAGGCTAGTCGTAGAGTATAGATAGGATGGGGACATTGGTCCTGGGCTTTTTGGGAGTTGACACTTCGTGGTGGAAGTTGCTGCGCACAAGGTATCAGGTCGTGGTTGCTGATTCCGGTGGTGAAGACGGCGGACATAGTCAGACCTTCGGAGCGCTGACCGGACTGGGGTCACGTTGTCCGCTTTGACTCTCTGGGAGTCAAAGCGGTCTCGACTATCAGAGGTCTGATGCGTTGGAGCACGTGGTGCACTGCTGACCCTCCTCAGGAGTAGGGTCCCCGTGGCGATGCAGCCATAGCAGCATCTTCTCAGAGATATCATCGTCTGGACTTCATCTTCATCAGGGACTGTTGGCGCTGAGCTTCTTCTTCATCATCTGGATGGCGATTGGCTCAGGGAGCCTGTTTCACTTTGGCGCAGGCCACTGAGTTGGATGTCAGGGTGGCGCTGGGTGTTACCTGGGGTTTCAGTGAGCTGTTCGGGGTGTTGGGGTTGAGGCGCTACCCCTCTGAGGGTGGCGCAACAGGATTCTGAGGATTATTCAGTGAAAACGATGCTCTGAGTTTAATAAACAGTTGCAATACTGTGTTTGAGTTGTCATCTCTTCATTGATTTCTGGCTGTGATGACTCGGTTGTCTTCTATGAATGATTGTTGGGACCAGTGTAGAGAGAATTCACAGTTTGTGTATTTTGTCACTTCGTTTCTCTGAGTCTTCCGCTGCGTTTTCCTTTCTGGGCGGTGTGACCCTTGCAATCAGACTCATCTTATTCACACTTTTCATGTGTGTAAACAGCAGCACAACACACTGGCGACATGAGCCCACACAGAACTCAGAGATATGGCTTCCAGATACGATTTTACTTTCAACTGGCTATGGCGACTTAGCGCCCAAACAACTCACTGTTCACACACTGGATCACCCTGGATATCCCACACACGCCACTCTGAACACTTACACGGGCACACACACWCTTCTCACTAACTACAGCTATGGCAGCTATGGCTGCCTCTACCCTATYGCTATGCTAACTCCTCCTCTCTCGCCCACTRCGTCCTCYRGGCTCACCGCAGACCTCCTTGCACAAGTCGYTGTGGCAGCRCTTCCGCATGGCTCACGCAGGAATGAATGAATGGCTGGGCGCTGCCTCTTGATTTATACTTCTGTAGGTCGTTGGTCTGGCCCATCTCCCTTGCCCGAAGTGCACACAGTCCCGTGCGGTACTTGTTGGACTGACTGGGGTCTGGGACTGTTGACTCAGCAGGGTAGACTTCCCCCACTTGCCCACTTGCCTCACCACTTGACCACTTGCCTCTGCTTAAACGTGGGGCAACTCCGAAAGGCCACTGCTGGGACCTTCCGGAAGGCCGTAGACTTGGCCTTTCGTGACTGTAGCAGCTACGATTCTGACCCTTCTGGACTGTAGCAGCTACAACCTTGACCTTTCAAGAAAACTACAGCTACGATGTCTAGACCTGAGTAAGACTCCTATCCGACAGGTCTACAGATCAAACCCATGCTACCTATGGACCCTACGACAACCTATCAGCTATTACAAATACACAGGTCGCGGGTTCAATTCTACGGGTCGACACAGGTATTGTACACAGGTAAGGTTGGGGTCTAGGGATCGAACCCTGGGATCTGCAACAGCCACTGCTGACTGGTGAATACCGTTTCACTCCCGCCGCCCTAATTTCGAGGTCCTCCGAGAATTATTCAGTCCAAGGCAGGACCTTTACCTTTCTGTTCTCTCTCGTAGGCCCTAACTATATCGGGAGCTGTCTCTAGAAGTTCTGATCTCGTAAACCAGCGGTCATCCTCCGGCTCCTGATATGCAAACCGGACCTTATACTGTTTCTGTGGACGACCTCTACCTCCTGTTCTGAAGACATCTTCACCTACAATGCCATCAATGTCATAGCTTCCATCCATATCCGGGGGGATCATGGATCGTCTTGAGGGGAACTATTGACTTGTGACACACGACAACAGTTTTGAAGCATGGAATACAGGGTAGGTGTGGAGGTGAACTGGAATCTCTACAGTGTAGGACGGTCCATCCTCTCCGCCCTTGACTTCTAGAACCGACCACGGTCCTCTATACGCAGGCAGTAACTTCTGAGAGATGTTTTCTTCTGGCGCAAACTCTTTTGCCTTGACCCAGACTAAGTCGCCTACCTGAAACTGCAATGGTCGGCAGTGCTTATTAGCTTGCTCTATCATTCTATGCTGGGCCTTTCTGAGGTTCTCAACAACAGTTGCTAATTCCTTTTCGTGTTGTACCGCAAATTTCCTAGTACCGGGCGGTAGTCGGTGAATCTGATCCCGGTTCAGTCCTTCGAACGGTCTGCGTGGTCTAAAGGACTTATGCAATTCATTGGGAGTTCGGCAGGTGGACAGATGCACGTTTTTGTTGTATGCACTAGCTACCTTAGGCAACATCTCATCCCAGTTAATCTGATCTGGTCTAATGTACATGCGCAAAACTTGTTGTAGGATCTTGTTCATCTGTTCTGTCTGACCGTTTGTCTCTGGATGTAGGCCAGATGACATTAACAACTTAGATCCGTACACTCGCATGAGTTCTTGCCAGTTCTGGCTGGTGAAGCGACTATCTCTATCRCTAACTATTGACAATGGGATTTCATTCTCACTAACCCAAAAGTCAAAGAACTTCTGTATCACTAAGTCTGTACGTGCCTCTGAGGGCAAAGGAACAAAAACTGCGTATTTACTAAAGCGGTCAACTACGACCATGACTTGGCTCTTACCATGTCTGCTCTTGACTTGGGTGTCCATGAAGTCTATGGACACCGAGTCTCCCGGCTGGTCCGGAATAGGCAAGGGTCTGAGAAGACCAAGGGGTGCGCGTGTAG